TTCCTTCCTCTTCTGTGAACTGATTCTGACTTGCTAGTTAGGAATGACTGTCTGGAGCTCCTGCCACACAGGGTCTGGACACTCATTTGAATCATATTAGTCTGCCTTGCTCTAGGACTAGACTCAGCGTTGCTGTCAACGAGTTGAGTTTCTTAAGTGAGATGGTTAAAAATCTGGAGAGGGGCTGGAGCGATAGCACAGCAGGTAGGGCATTTGCCTTGGCACACAGTCAACATGGCCGACCCAGGTTCGATTCCCAGCATCCCATATGGTTCCCTGTGCACTGCCAGGAGTATTTCCTGAGTGCAAAGGCAGGAGTAACCCCTGAGCATCACCGGGTGTGACCCAAAAAGCCAAAAAAAAAAAATTCGGAGAGGTAGGGCAGGGGTCAAGGCACGTGCTTGGCACATAGCCAGTCCCAGTTCAGTCCCCAGCACCATGTGGGATCCCCTGAGCACCACCAGGAATCAGCCCTGAACACTGCTGGGTTGGCTCAGCCTATTACCCTTCACCCCTCCACCCCGAAAAAAAAAAAGATCTGGGGCTGGAGAGCTAGCACAGCGGGTAGGGCGTTTGCCTTGCATGCGGCTGACCCGGGATCGATTCCCAGCATCCCATTTGGTCCCCTGAGCACCGCCAGGAGTAATTCCTGGGTGCAGAAGTAGGAGTAACCCCTGTGCATTGCCGGGTGTGACCCCCCCCCCCAAAAAAGCAAGATAAATAAATAAATAAATTGCTCTACCCTATTTAAAAAAAAGAAAAAAAAAGATCTGGAAATCTACGTGATGTGTTGACAGTTCTCATATTGAGAGACATTCGAAATCCATGAAGTCACAGTTCTGGTTAATAGAGGAGAAGGTAGCGAGAGTAATGCACAGAGGACGGATTTCTTAAATGATGACTTAATTCATTATTCCTTTTGCAGGGATGTGCGATCAGTGATAGGAAAGGACATTTGAACCCCTTTGTATTTAGTACTTGACATCATTTTCATTGGAAACGGCTCTCTGTGCTTTGGACGTTTCCCCCCTGAGTCAACTTTGTTCTTGGTGGAGCTGACCATTTTGTTCCGTGTGTCCGTGGAAGGCTGCCCTTAAAGAAGGGCTAAGGGGAGGTTGTGAGTTCCAGGTGCCCACAGGAAGCAGGAGTGCTGGGACCGGGGCTGCAAGATGCCTTCAGAGAAACTCCAGAGAACAGTTTTTGTTGCCGTTGTAGGCGCTACACTGCCGCCAGGGAAGGGTTGCTGAGGATAGCGCAGGACAGGGCAGGACTCCTGCTGACAAGTGTCTCCGTGGGCTGGGGGCTGTCCCATGCTCTTCCTGCCCCTAAGCTAATGCCACCTATGGAGTTTGCTCCAAACACAAGTATCTTAGAAGTAGCTAACTCAATGGACTTAAACCTTATTATGGTCAAGAAATGAAATAAGAGGTCGAAGAAAAGTAATTTCTTTCAAATCAACACTAGGAATCTTTGCCGTTGCCTACATCTGTGTGAATTTAGTTATAAGCATTCAAAGCCTTCGTCATTTTTACGCATCCTTTTTTTTTTTAACTAGTCTCATAAATGTTTTGATACTCATTACTCATCTGCTGCTATTGTGTTGCTAATTTTTTTCTGTTGCCACACAACACACGTCACCACCGACATGGAGGCTTCCAGGCACACAGGCGGTCTGCTTTCTGGTGAGAGTGGAGCCCCGGCCAAGCCCGGGGTCTCCGACGGCCCCCCACAGCGCCCTGTGCCGGCTCCTCGCAGGCTCTCCCGGGGAGGAGCTGCATCTGGGTTCATGGAGCCGCATCCGGGTTCATGCAGGGGGTTGTGTGCCTGACAGCGATCCCTGACACACTCAGTGGTTGCTGGGGACTGGGAGGCCACGAGGTACCGCGGAGCGAAACAGGGTCAGCCGCATGCAGGCGTGTGCCCGCAGCCGTCTTCTGTTCCTCCTCTCATCCCCGCTGGTCCTGGAAGGGATCCTCCTCCCCGACCCCTCCTCCTCCTGCCCACCCTTTGTGTCTTCATTTGCGTGTGTATTTGTGTCTGCATGGCCGTGTCAGTGCCATAAAGGAATCGGATTATGGTAAGATTAGTGGCCACTTTTCACTAGCCAAGACTTCTCTGTTTTATTTGTATAAGATTTCAGATAAAACTATTACTGAATATCTTTACATTCTATAAACACCGCATGTTTAAAAGCATGGACTCGGGAATCGTACTGTTTATTTGAATCACAGCTCCGCTACTTACCAGCTCTGTGACCCCAGTGAAGTGCCTTGATCTCCGTGTCTCTTTTGCCTCATTTATAACGTCAAGGCCTGCCTTGTTGCTCGGATTGAGCAGATGGATATATTTCCTGCTCTTAGAACTGTTCCCGAGACATAATGTATGTTCTCGTAGAACATCTCTCGTCGTTATCATTAGATTCTTTTTTGAGGAATTATCATTGGCATATATCTTGGAGAAGCACACGAATGCATTCGTTTTTGGATGAGCTGTCCCCTCACCCGCACTACCAGTAATTTTCTGTTTTGCGGACTCTCCTTTCTTAAAGCCTGAGTTTTGAAGCGGGGGTGTTTAGATGGCCTCTCTTCGCCCTCCTGAGCTGTGTTTGAGAGGATGCTCAGTCCCACTCTCCTCTGTATCTCCTGGCCCCTGGAACACTCTGTGGCCCCTGACGACGGGTTGCTTGAGAGACTTGAATGGGTTGAATGTTTGCTCAGAGCCTTTGCCCATCTGCTGGGGCATGCAGGGAGAGCCCGGGGCAAGGGGGTGCACCAAGGGCTTTCTGTCGTGGTCCTGTTGGCCCACCCTTGTCCCAGCAGTGCTTCTTCACAGCAGCGGTTCCTTCTCAGAGCACCCGGGCTCCGTGTCCAGCCTGTCTGTCGTTCGTGGTGATGACCCGTCACAAGTCCCAGCACTCCTTGCGAGTTGGAACTCACTCTCCATGTCCTTGTTTCAGTCCCCCGAGACACCAGCACAGGCCAAACAGTTCCTTCGCAGAGGTCCAGGTTTCCGAGCCACTCGTCCTACAGTGGCCATCGCTTTCCTCTCTTCCCCAGCTTGAAGCCTGGCACTTCTTCATTTCTTACCCGGCTTCTCCTCGGCCTCTTCATTTCTCTCCTCCACACTGTGACGCCTCTTAGTGCTTGGCGTCGCTTGGCCCCGTCTGGAATCCGTTAGGTCTGACCCTGCTTGTGGCGTTTTCTCACCTTGCTGAGTGTCCCCTTCAGAGCAATCACTGCTGCCCAGGCCCCAGCTTAGCCAATGGCCCTTCGTAGGCTGATCTGGCCGGGGACGTGTTTTTGTACATACAATTTTATTGGAACCCAGCCACACCCGATCGTGTTCATGTTTTTCGTAGCTGATTTTGCACAGGCAGAGCTGAACCCACGCAGGGAGACCGTGTGGTCCATGCAAGAGTTCCCGGAAGCACGGGCAGTGGACATCCAGTCCAGCTGGATAGTGATCACTGGCGGTTCCCCCTAATGCCCCTTGGAAGGCCTTCCGCCTTCCAGAAAAGAACAGAAATGAGGGGAAAGGAAGTTAATAGGCAGAACTGTGGCATTCAGCCATTAAACTTTCTGCTTAAAATAGAAAATTTGTCTAAAATGTATTTTAATCAAATATTTCAAAATGTTATAAAATTATACATACATACACATGTATGTACATATACTTGAATTTTCAAATTCATGGAATAAATTAGAAGAGTATCAGAACAATAAGCGTTCGGCGATGACTCAGAATTCTAGCTGGGCACACTGGGCTGGAGGTAGGCAGAGCACTCAGTGTCCCTGGCTCCCGGCCGAGTTGTGGGTTGGGAAGTCCTTTGATAGAAGCCTTGGTACCACTGGCTCCACTATGTCCAGCCATGACTGAGGCCAGTAAACTTTGTATGATCTGAAGAAGCTGTTTACTAAGAATTGTTTTTTCTTGGGGGGGTGGGGGGAGGGCTTTTAAGCCACACCCAGCAATGCACAGGGGTTCCTCCTGGCTCTGCACTCAGGAATTACTCCTGACGGTGCTCGGTGCTCGGGGGACCATATGGGATACTGGAAATCGAATCTGGGTTAGCTTCATGCAAGACAAAGGCCCTCCCTACTGTTCTATTGCTCTGGCCTCTAGAACGTTTCATTAACACTTTGACACTGGTGCTACAATATGTTAATTAAACCACGTTTAAGTGTGAACCACTGGTAGTGCATGCCAGCTCCAACGTGTCAAACATTATTCACTACATTTGTCATTTAATACGTGATATGCCTCAAAGTGTATATATACTACAAAGTGTATTTTGTTTGTTGGGGGAACCGTACTCAGTGCGCAGGGCTTACTCCTGGCTCTGCGGTCAGGGATCACTCCTGATGGGGCTCAGGGGAATATGTGGACACACTGAGACCACATCCATCTGATGGTGCAGGAAAGGAGAACTGTAAGTGCTGTTTTGCCCTGGTCAGCTGCAGGTGGTCAGGACAGGTGTGATAAACATGTTGATTGCGCCTCCAGGGGAGGCAGAGTGAGAGTTGTGGAGTTGCTGCGGGCTGAGCTGGGTGCAGGAGAGAGAGTCGGGCACTGCGGGAGAGTTGGAGGGAGCATTGTGGTCCAAGCTAGAGAGAGAGTTTGGGAAAAACGAGAGATGTGAATAAACGGCAACTGATCACCAACCAGCTTGGCCCTTGTTCCTCCTTTGTCCACCCATTGCAACAGCCGTCCCGGATGGGGAATTGGTTCGAGAGCACAGAATGCGGGTGGCGAGAGAGAGCCCTTCCTCGCCGCCCGGAGAGCCCACTAACATCCATTAATGTGTGATCACACAGAGCATCGCCTGAGCTAAGGAGTGTATGCACTTGCCAACTCTAAAATTACTATGAGTAACTGCTCATGGTCACCGTCACATCGTCGGTGTGTCCATGAGAAGACGTCAGAAGTGAGCATTAACGTGTATTTATTATACATGGCATTGCCTGGGCACACAGCTGATGCGGTTTTGTTTCTCTCGGCAGCAACTTGAATTGGTAGAACCAAGCGGCTGGATTCACGTTCCTCTAACGGACAACCATAAGAAGCCGACCCGCACGTTCATGATCCAGATTGCAGTTCTCGCCAATCACCAGAATGGCCGAGACACCCACATGCGGCAGATTAAGATCTACACGCCCGTGGAGGAGAGCTCCATCGGCAGGTTCCCTCGCTGCACCACCATTGATTTCATGATGTATCGCTCAATAAGGTGACAGAGCAAAGTCATTTGGGGTATCTTCGTTTTATCTTGCTAGTAAATATTGCAGCTGGTGTTTTTATTGAAGAAAAAAAAATCTTGACAATTCTGTGTGCATTAAAAGGTATTGTAATTTTGATAACTTTTGGGTCACGTGGTCTTTATTTCGTCTAACTTACAGGAAGGCTCACATTTTATATTCTTAAAACTGGGTTCACCGCCAGTCTTTAAATATTTCACCATATTCAAATGAAACCAGCTGAAGTTGTCGCTGCAACATGCTGGGGTCATGGGACCGGCCAGGGAGCTGGCCATGACAGCCCACCTCACTGCCTGTTGTGCACTGTAGTGGGAGGGGGCCAGCCCACAGGAAATGACACACACACCCAGAGCCTCTGCAGGGAGAAGACTCAGTTTACTGCAAGCAGGGTCAGGGTTATATACCTCAAGAAACAGGGAACAAACTTTCCGTGGGGGATCCAGCACACACTTGCACAAGGCTTTAGGGTGTTGCAGCTTATCGTTCCTTCTTGGTCGGGGGTTCCCATTGGTTCAGTCTTGTCCCCTGGTGCCACAGAGGTGACTGGGTGCCAGAGCTGGCTGCCAGAGGGAGAGAGGAAAGGAAAGGTGAGGGGCTGCTGCCAGGAAGTCAAAAGGGAAAGTTATGGGGGAGGGGCCGCCTCTTCCCTGTTGGGCCACGTCTCCGGGGCTCCATCCTTAACCCCACTCGCTCTCCAGTTATTCCTTACAGTGTCCCACAGAACTGACAATTTTAAGACATGCCCCAGTGTTAAATAACCAGGTGATTATTTTCTATCATGTTTGTATATTACTATAATGACGTCACTGCATGTTTGCGAGCAAAATTGTGTTTCATCAGTTGATAACAAGAGACCAAAATTTTATTATTTTTCATCCAGAAGAAGTCTTAACTCTTTTATTTTTTTTAATTTTTTTTTTTGTAGGAGTACTGCTATTTATTCAGCCACTGATTAGCTGATTGAATTGTGCATGAACTCCACCTTACTTTTTTTTTTCTTTTTCCATTTTTTATAATTTTATTTATTGAATCACCGTGAGAGCAGTTACAAAGCTTTTGGGTTTAAGTCTCTGTCATGCAACGAAACACCCGTACCTTCACCAGTGTCCATTCTCCACCACCAAAAATGCCAGTATACCCCCATCCCACACCCTCCCCCTGCCTGTGGGGCAGATGATCTCCACATTACTCTCTCTCTACTTTGATCACATTCAATATTTCGACACCAGGCCCACCATTATTATTTGAGATTTACCCCAATACTCAGATCTGCTGAAAAGGCAACAGTAGACAATTTGTGTTCTATTGCTGGTTATGACTAACATATGATGTCGTGTGGCTGCAGTAGGGCCATGTGGTTTTGGAATTCTGAAATTTTAACACTTAAATCTGGAGGGATTTCTGCCAAAAGCCACTGGGTTTAGAGATCTGCTCCTGAGTCTCTGGGATCATGGCCGTTGAGCAGCTTGATCAGGAGCCAGAGAGGCCATTCGTGGGCGATGACTTGGGGTCTCGTTGGGGTGGGGAGGACAAGCCCGGCTCCACCCTCATCCCGTGAGGCCCTGTGTGTCTCGTCACTGGGGGCCCAAATGTGACTCTCCAGTGGCCTCAGACGGATGGTGGCCACTGGGCCGCCAGGGGGAATAGGCCAAGGCACGAAACCTATTCCCACCTGGGTTGGCCCAGCACCAGTAGCCTACTGCAGAGACCAGATGCATTTCTACCTAAAGCTACTGGGTTCTGAGATTCGTTTCTGAGTCTCTGGGATCATGTCCATTAAGCAGTTCAATCAGGAACCAAAGAGGCCTTGCCTCCAATTATATAGCTGAGCCGGAGGTGGTTTGTGGGTGTGTTTCCCACATACCTAACTTTTGGCCATTTACTTTCTTGGTAAACTTTGCCCCAAGTTTTTGGGGTCTGGCCAAAGGCACAGCAGCAATTTTGGGGTATCTGGAAGTCTGAAGGCGCCATGAAGCTGCTGATGCACTCGCCTCACAGGTACAGATTGACTTGCTGGCGGCACCATACCCCCAAGAAGTCTTAACTCTTTTAATATTTTTTTTGTACTCTGCAAAGAGCAGGGTTGGGTGCAGAGGGAGGGTGCAGGGGGAAAGGCATTTGCCTTGCATGTGGCTGACCCCCAGTCAGTCGTAGTGATGGAACCCGGTCTCCCGCTATGTTGGAGCATACACTCCAGCTCTTGAGCCTTCTCCTACTCTTGAACAAAAAAAAATCTTAACCGTCAATTTTATGACCGAAGAGTCATTGGTTTATTTGCAGTTGACATATATTTTTGAGTACTGGTCAAACCTGCAGTTGTGAGGTTTAGAATTTTCAGTTTCACCTGTAACCTATGTATAAGTCACTTCCCAAATCACTTCATTCCCCGAGGCAGTTTGTTGCAAGAAATTTTATACAGAACTGAGCATGGAAACATGGTGGCTCACTGCACACTAAGGAATATGCAGCTCTCAAAAGGCCCATAGATACTGGGTGTTGAGCTGGTGTAAGAAGGAAGCCAAGATACACTGCTCTTCAATTGCTTCCAGTCTACGTTAACATAATCGCTACCAATCAGAAATTAGAATGAAGGAACTAAAGACTGGGAACACTGTGATGCTTGCTTCCTGTTTCAAAGGAGTCAAAGATACTGGTGGAGGTGGGGGGTGGGGGGGTGGGGGGGAGGTGGAATTTTGGACAGAATAGGCTATGGGTAGTTTCAGCTGTTCACTTTTATGGCCTCTTCTTGGATCCAGAGTATCACTGTTTTTATGCAATGTTTAATCTAAAGCAGATGATTTGTGTGTTTGGGATCAAGTGGTGTGCATCTGAAAGTTTGCAAAGGTACTAACAAGCAAATCTTGAGAAGTAATTTTAGACATCGTATCTTTTGGGGGGACTTCAAGGGTTCAGGCCACACCCATCAACATGTCTGTATTCATGATGATTCCTAATGTGTAAATTGCCAAACTATAAATTTTTATTCGAATAAAATTTTAGGAATTAAAAAGCTTCTAATGTTTCGGAGAAGTGACCCTGCTCTAAAATTCTTAATAAAATGTTAGCATTATTTTAAAATTGAATTTTAGATTATTCATTACCTTTTTAAAATAACCAAATTTGCAAAAATGAGTTTGACCAAATTTGAAAGAAGCATTTAGGGAGAATGTTATTTTATAGTTGTGGTTCGATGTGGACATTCTTGCTTTATAGAACTTTGGAACCAAGATTACCTTCTTTTAACCCACATTGTTCTTTCATTCCCGACTTCTTGACTCCTTGGGGTTCGGTGTTTGAAAACTTGCTGAATAGCTATTTACTAGCTTTCTACAGAGGAGCTCTGAGCTTCTCAGGCTACCATAATTGGGTTTGTTTTCATACACTGGTGTTCAGAAAGTTTTGGAGAAAGGAAGGTGATGAAGAAGAAAGCCTCAGAGATTCAGTCATTAATTATCCACAATAATGATCCTATTACCAGGACAAGTCTTAAAGACTAATTGGAAAAAGCCCTACTATAAATTTAAGAAAATGTCTTGATTTCATGGCAATTTTATGGGAAAAGTTAAAATATTTTTTTTTAGTACTCCAGACCTCTTTATTTTTCAATTTTATGTGAACATTTCCTTTCATTTAGTGGTGGTTAATCCCACCACCATTGTTTCATCTTCACTGTTGAATAGAAGCGACTTGCTATTTTGCAAATATAAGCAAAATGACAGTTGGATCAAGTGAGAAGTGTTCTACTTGCTAATGAAACTTTGAGTGAGTTTTTATTTCAGGAAGTGGCATTCACATCATGTGTAATTGAGGCCATTTTAGTTACCAAGTTTGTGATTGTAAGCTTTCAGCGATCGTGGTGAGATCCTCCACTGTATTTTTTGCCTCTCTGATGTCAAGAGCAAGTTACAGCCCTCTCCCTGTGGTCCTAGAATTAACTCTTGGCACAGTTTTATGGACTTCACTCCAAGATTGGCTCCTTTCTTTGCCCTGGCATGCCTCTCTCGCTGGAGATCCAGACTTTAACAGATCATTTCCTGTTATTACTGCAACGATCAAATACCAATCCCTGACCAAGAAGCAGAGTATCCAAAAGACTGAGGCAGAGAGTTCAGCCAGCTGTTTGTTTTTCAACTGTTAAAGTTTATAAGAATCACATGTTCAATGGATATAAAGACAAACTTAAATAGAGGGTAGGTAGCTTTGGTCAAAGGACAGTAAACCACCCAGCTATTCCGGTAGGATAGCTTGGTGTTGACCAGAGACAAAGGAAAGGGATTTGCTATTTCGAAATCATACCTATATTTTAGGGTAATCTTCAGTGAGAAGTGTTGCAGGGAACTTGTTCTTCAGTTTTCTCTCATGATCCCCCCCTCCCCACCCCGCCTAGTCTTCCAAGCTTTTTAAAGCAAAATCTGTCATTTCTTACTTGAATTTTTTAGTGGTTAGCCTGGAATCGGTATGATTTTGACTCTGTCCTTCAATCCTCAGTCACCCCAAGTCTTGCAGAGTCGGTCTCCACATTATCACTTGGTATCACCCATTCACGTCATTCTGGGCCAATTACAGGCAGCTCCCAGCTGGACCATTGGTCTGTAGTTTATGCTAAGATAAAATTATCCAAACACCATTCCATCATATGACTTTCTGTAAATATCTATACTAATTCCACATTACCTATATAAATTTACCTTTATAAATAAACCAAAAGTCCTCTGGCTTCCCTTCAAAGCCATACATCTTCGCTGCCTCTTGGGTAACCCTTCTTCGTTATTCTCAGCCTTTTTGCCCGGACCAAGCAAAGATGCTTGTCTGTTCAAAGCACACAACTCCTTATTCTCTCTTTTATTCTCAACACCTAATGACCTTTCATTGTCACTCTTCTGTCAGTTGATACCACTTTTCTCAACAGAAACTAACCCAGATGTCACACTTTTAAGGGTCTCGTTAGATTTTAGTCCTATGCATCTTTGCGCTTTCTTGGGTTCTGAGTTCCCTCAGCCTTCTGGTGTTCAGCACTGTCTGAAGTTGGCAGAGAAGGAATGAGTACCACTGGGCACCATTTCTCCTTTATTTGGTAAGAGAAGTTTCC